AAGGCTTTAATTGAAAATTTGGCTGAGGAATTTTTCTGTATATTAACATTTTCCAAGGTAATGTCACAATGAAATTGGAGACTTTTGACAATTTCTTTAATTTGCCTGAATATGAACGATTTAAATTGACTAGGGTTGAAGGAACTTACTTTTCTCTTTTTAATGGATTATTTTTCGCGTAAGTGGATTAATTTCACGATCCGTTATAAGCCTTTGAATGCAAAAAAATGCAGGTTACATATATGGCTATTTTTTGTAACACTTGCTATTCTTCTGCCTCTTTCGTTTCTAAATAACACGGAACCGGAAGGTCAAATATACAAAAAGTATATTTCTACATGTCTTACATTTAATAAGGTCTTCTTTACATTAACTTCGCGGAAACATATACGGACACTTTGCTTATTTGCCTAGCCATGCGGGAAAAAGTTTGCGATGAAGGCATTCTTGTAATTGCATTTTGTATAACAAAAATTCACGGGCTAGCTAAATAAAATTTTAAATTGAAATTGGGCCTTGTTTTTGAAAATAAATGCATTTCCTTACAGTTGGATTCACTTGTATGTGAACAAATTCGGAAAAATTGTCCTGTTCCGGAAGGGATATTTTTTCCACTTCTTTGCTTATTTTGAAATTCTTCCATAACACAATGTATGATAATAATAACAGTTATGTATCTATCATACCTTATAGCGTAGAAAATGTATTCGATATAAACCTACAAGTGATTTAGCCAAAGAAAGAATCTACTAGAACTGCGTTTACAGCATAAAGCCCCTCAAAATACTTAAAACTATGAGAAGTGCGTTTTGGGGATTTTCATGATCCTTAGCTAGGTAATATTTGTTGGAGTTTTAGTTAATCCTTACACCCTCTATTTGCCATTCCTACATTTCTTTGTAGTTACAATGTTTTAATCCTTATACGCAATAAAAATCCTTTTTTAAATTTTTGCTTGTTAACTCCTTGCAAGGGGTAAAAATGCTAGCTACTACGTATGCATATATTTATGGATCAAGCTGCAAACGCGTGTTCGAAAGTTTGATTTCAGGTCTATTCTTCCCTAATGGAAAGCAAACAATTTCATGTGGCATCGGATTCAAAAATTGGCTAAAGTTGTACTCTGAGTTAGTTTGCCAATTTTTACATTTTATGCAATAATATTACCAGCAATTTTACGATAGGTTATTAAAAACAGTAGATTTAACCTCTTTGGTACAGATATTTTCCTCCATTCCTCAATCACGCTTTGGACACGAGCATGCTACCAGAAAATGTCACGGGATTTTGTATACTAAGGAAGTGACAGCCATGCTTTAGTCACATTTTGCTGTGAAGGGTTTAGCTTAGGTCTAATATCATACTCTCTCTCACTTTTTTTAGAACCTCTTGCTTTATTCGTAATTATATATATATATATATAGCTTGTTACTCTTTTAAGGGAGAACCCAACTCAAAATGTGGTAGTATTGTAAGGGATGCCTTCTTAGTCATCCAAACCAATTTACCCTAGTCATGAATAAGATTCAATTTGCAGATCCACTTGTAGTAAATAGACTGTGTGCCTCTTCCGTTTCCCTACTTTTCAAACCAACTGCTATATTAATTAAACAGAACAGTAAAGGTTGTTAAAAAGAAGGCAATTGGCTTCAGCTTTTAATTGAAAGAAGTGTTGGAGTCTCGCCAGTAGAGAAAAAGCGTTAAGTCTTTCCGTGGGAAATTAATTAATCCCCCTCATAACTTTGAACAAGTTATTAAACATCATTTAGGACCACCCGCCTACAGAGATCTTTTTGGTTAACATTGTTAGTCATCAGTTTTTATGAGAAACTTCAACAGGCAAAGCAATTCAAAACCAACTTAGAACTATGCAAATTCTATTTCGTGGAGGTTGCAATATCGCAAACACAGCAGATCCCTACCAGGCCGTACTTAATAAGTAGACTGGTCCCGCTTGGGCAGTCAGCTTACCGCAAAACAATTTATGGTTTCCATACATTGCACAAGGCTTGCGGGTTAATCGATCTAAGTGCAGATGCCTACCATGCGCATTTTAAAAAGTAGACTGGTCCAGTTATGGAAACGTAGATCGGTTGTCTAGGAAATCTTGTTTAGGCTGTGAGCTTAAGGTATAAGATTTCATGGATTCCATGGTTTGCAGTAGACTGAGCAGGTACATCGACCAAGTGTGATTAAACTCACGTCTCTCCGTGGATGCGCCTTAGCACAGCTGGTTAAAGCCTGAACTGTACTGAAGCCTTTGCCTTGCTGCTTTGTGTTTGAATCCAACCGAGATCGCCGAGATCCTCACAATTTGGCCAATTATATGATGTTCTAATTTACCTGTTATTTACTTATTTTACAAGCTATATTACGGAAACTCAGTTAATGTGTATGTTGTCGAAATGGATAGAAATATGATTTATTATATTAAGCCCTGTCCGAATGAGCACAATTGAGTTTATCTCGTGAGGCGTATTTCAGCTAACTTTGTAATATTTCACCGAACTGTCATTTTCGGAAGTTTTTAAAACTTCATATAAAGTTGAAAATTTAAGTAATATAATTTTGCCTATGGTTTAAGAATTACGTGC